TTACTTACGTTTAATTTTAACGTTTAAGTTAAGTTAGTTAAGTATATTATTAGTTATTAGTTAGTTTAGTTTAGTTTAGTTATAGTAGTACGTATATATTATATATATATATATATATATATATATATATATATATATATATATATATATATATATATATATTTATATTCTTTTTCATGATACGCCATTACAAGGTTTTGAATATAGTTCCCTATGCTATACAGTAGCACCTTGTGGTTCATCATTGTCTTTTAAAAATGAGACTCAGTCCTTTTGGCACCTCAGGCAGACCCCGGGGCTGCAGAGGTGCTGAATCGATGGTACAGGTAGATGTCTGTTCTGCTGCGTCACCCCCGCCCCAGACCTCATAAGAGGCACTCCTGGCTGCACCTGTAAATCCTTCAAATGGTTTCCAAAAACCCAACGTTGGCTGATGTGAACCTGTAGCGATCTCAGGGTAGCTGCCTCAAACACTGTCACATCTTACAGTGGGTTTGGCCTGTCAGAGTGTTTACCCGGCCGCCTCAAGTTCCATCAAGCTCTCTATGAAACTTATTTTTAAATATGCATTGTCCCTTCTTAGACCTTTTTCAGTATTGGCTCCTGGACAAATCTTTCATCTCCAGCCAACCTTAAAGTTCAGTTAAAAAGAAAGGCCTGTTTTCTCACAGAATGATCAAGGCTTGGGGCTCTGTATGTGAATGGAGGAACCTGAGGTTTTAGGAATTTTATGTACATCACGGAGATATTTTCAACTTGAGTGGCTCTTCTGGGCTCTGTTAACATTCAAAGGTGTCCCTTTGTTTGTATCTTGGATCTAGGCTGCCAGGTTGAATCTACTTGTTTGCAGTGGTTGAGTGACTTTGTCTAAGTGTGGAATGGATCAGGGCAGTAGGACAAGATTTTGACGTAATTCAACTCTAGCCCTCTGAAAATCCTGTTGGCACCACCATTTATCTCGGGGACCCCCTTGGCAGCAACACCTGCAGTGGCCGCTCCTGGTCTGAGGAGGGCGAGACTTGAGGGTGGGAGGGAGAAGCACCTCTTCCTCTTCCTTTCACCTCTCTCTCTTCTTTTTTCTGTCCCTTCTTCCATTTTGTAGAAAATCTATTGAGGCATATTTTATGATCATACCATAGAGTTCACCCATTCTAAATGCACAATGAGCTCTAGTGAGTTTGTCCAGTTGCATAAACGTTACCGGGAACCAGCTTTTAGAAGCCCTTCATCATCCCCCAAAGTCCCCTTGAGTAGTCAGTCTCCATTCCTCTCTCCAACCCCAAGTGACCACTGCTCCGTCCCTACAGTTTGGCCTTTCCTAGAAATTGCATACAAATAGAACCGTACAGCATGTAGTCTTTTGTGTCTGTCTTCTTTCACTTCCTTTAATGTCTTTGCATGTATTAGTAGCTCATTATTATTATTTTATTTTTTCACTTATCTTTGTTTCCCTCTCTCTCTCCCACACACAGACACACAGACACACAGACACACACACACACACACACACACACACAGAGTTTTCTTACTTTCTCTGCTCTTTTTTCACCCTGGCACAGATCTGGTCATTAGGCCCTAAGACATAATTAGGAGTGAAGTGTGGAGTCCATGCACCAAACCCTTCTAAGTGGGCGCCCACAGAGGTGGTTGGGGTGGCTGGGCAGCCAGCCTGTCCCAGCCCGTGGGGGTCCAGGATGCGTCCTCCCCAGGGGGCAGGAGAAGGGCAGGTGGGGTGGGGCTGTGATGGGGCTTCCCTCTCCTCTGAGTCTGAGGAAACTGGAATGAGCACAAAACCAAGCTGGGTGAATAAAGTCAGTTTACTGACTCTACTTGGGCTGGAGTGAGGCCGCAAGGGCACCCTGGGCAGAGGGACCCCAGGCCGTGGAGACTGTAGGGGCTGCTGGGTCCTCTTGGGCTTCCGGGCTTCCAGGCAGCAGCAGGGCAGCCTGTGGGGTCCCAGTGAGCCCAGGTCGCTTGGCCTGGGCTGTCTGGGACTGGGCTGGTCAGTTGCTGTCTGGAGATGCTCAAGCCAGACCCCAAGAAGAGAGTGGCATAAGGTGAAAAAGGTAAGTGGGAACACATTGGTTTCGGTTTTGGTAAAGAGGGGGAGGGAAGGGGGGACATGGGGACAGAGAAAGGGCAGCTGAAGGGACAGGCTTCCGCTTCACTCCCGGGGCAGCTTCCTTGCTAGACTACCCGCCTGTTGCTTTCACAAATGCTGCTTTCATTTCCATCTCCCAACTCGGAACCTGGAAAGCAAGAAGATCTCTCAGGCCACGAAGCTGAGGCTGCCGGTGGGATCTGTCGTGAAGGCATAGCATCACTGGCCCCCACCTGCCCTCCTCCCCTCAGCCCCCAGCCCCAGTGGCTGGCCACACACACACACACACACACTACAGTGTTTGAACAGTGTGGGGAACAGAGACCCCTGTTCAGAGATGACAGTGGCTGGGAACAAAGGGTCACAGGATGGGAGGGAGGGAGGGAGGGTGAAGAGGCAGTGAGATGGCAGTGGGGACAGTGGAGGAGGTGGGGGGTGCAGGGGGGTGCTTTCCTTTATTGTTGGGGTAAACTCATTTTCTCAATATATTTCTTTTCCCACTGGCTTGAGTGAGCGCTTACTGATTACTTGGAAGTGGTTTTTGCCCGGTGAGGAATGGCAGGGGAGCAGGAGCAAGTGATACCTCTCCCCACCCCCGCATCTGGACCCTCTTGACTTCTCCCTCCACCACAAGGAAGCCCCAGCCCCATAACCTGCCCCCATTCTGTCACCCTCTCCTGTTCTAGTCACCTTGACTTGTCCATATGCAGGGGGAGGTGCTCTGGCCCAGCCTTTAGCTTGAAGGCCCTCAGGCCTGTTCCTGTCCACACCTGTATTGATGGCTGCAGGAGGCAGTGTTCCCCTCCCTGGCCTTGGACTTGGCTGTGGTGACAGTCATTTGTGCCAGCTGGGAAGCAGCTGTCGGGGGGCTGGTTCCCAGAGCTGTGTGACATGTTTTTAGACCCGGGTGCACCTACCCAAGGACTCTCCCCAGTAGCCCTTACCTCTGGGCCACCTGTGGCATTTGTGTGTGGCCTTGGTTCCTAGGAGGGGACGTGGTGCCCAGTGAGAAGGTTGGCATGGTCACCACAGAGCCACAAAGAGGCTGGCATCTCTTTGTGCCACCTGGTGTGCCCTGATGTTCTGCCTTTTTCCCTCACAGTTTACCTGCATTGAGCTAGGGCAGCAGGTCACAGCTGTGACTCAGCTCTGGCAACCCATCTTAACAAAGCGCTGCCAACTGGGTGAGTCATGCCAGGCTGCCAAGGACCAAAGAAGAGTATGGCCCCGGGGGAGGGCAGGAGGCATGTGGATCTGCCTCAGGCTGCCCTGGCTCCTGTCTTGATCATTGCTCTGGCGGAAAGCCAGGCAAGGGCTGCGTCTGACCAGCGTGCCAGGACAGTCCCTCCGTGCTGGGCTTCCCATGCCAGCGTCTGGGGTGTGTGCAGGGCTGGGGCAGGGCCAAGCGGACCCGCGCGCCCTCCCTAGGCCAACCCGAGCCGCCGCTCGGGAGCCGGCAGCCGGGATGGGAGAGCGGTCAGGGAGCGGTGAGGTCTGGCAAAGACCTTCGTGTGCGCCCGCCTCCACGCCTAGACCTGTTTCCAGGGAAGAATTCACTGCCCCCACATTGGGACTGGTATAGGGGAGGGGGTGGATCCTAGAGCTAATCCCAGCTTCCTGAAGAGGGGCGGTAAATGACATCAGGGGACCATCTGCCTCCGAGCAACACAGGAGGGCGGGGTCCCCTCAGTGGAGCCTCCTTTTAACCCCAGGGATGCTGTTTCCTGCCCTGCAGGGGCATCGTCTTTCTCTGGGGCCCAGGCTGGGAGGCAGGGGTCCCTCTTCCCCTTGCCAGGGTGGGAGAGGGGGGCGCTCCATTCCGTTCAGTGCCTCCTGGAGCAGCAGGGCGGCAGCGGCTCTCGCTGGGCACTAGGGGTCGCCCCTGCCCAGCCAGACCCACTCGGGCGCGCCCGGCCGCCGCAGGTTTCCCTGAACCGGGAAAAGCCGGGCGCCTAGGGG